GCAGGGTGCCGTGCCCCAGGGGCTGAACTGCGCTGGGAGATGACCAGTGGCTCTGGCCTGCCCTTACGTATTTAGTTGTCAGCTTAATCTCTGGTGGGGAGAGTTCAGCGCCGGTGCTGGTTTGTGGCCTCCCTTCTGTCTGTAACGAGGAGAAGCTTCTCCGCTGAGGAAAACCCGGCAACAGCAAAGAGGACGTTAATGGAGCTTTTCATGTGTGTTCTCTCATTTGCAAGACGTGGGACGTTGTGGGAGACGTCGGACTTGCAACCACATTGCGGGAGCTTGTGTTATTTACTGCTGTGGCTGGTTCCTACTTCCTTTAATTCCCAGGCAGCTGAGATCTCTGTTCGCGTTTTCAGCATTGTTCGCGCAGGTGTCACATATTGCATTTGAACTGGAGCTACCCTGTGCGTTTGGATTAATAAGGACAGGACAGGCCAATGCTCCTGGTTTGGAAATAGAGAACCATATGTAGAAGGGTTGGTTTCCCTCTTAATTTGCCCTGGGAATATTTGTTTCTGGGCAGTAGGCTGTTGAGAAACAAGTTCAGATTATCACTTAAAGTTATATGGGAAGTCTTGAGATTTGAGATATCAACTAACAAAGGAACGTAATGTACTTTCGTGTGTATTTTTGTTAGTACGTCTATAAAAGATACATAATTTAGTGACATTGTATATGCGTGTGTGTAATACAAAGACAAATTTATCCAAGAGCTTTCTTTCCCCTGCAGTCCTTCTGGTTCTGACCCTCTGATTGTCTCTGGTCTTGTATAAGTTTTCTGAGGGAACTGGTCACTTGAGGACTTACTTCCAAGTCCTGTGGCTTTTCAAGTGGGAGCATTTATGTGTAAGTATGTAGGGATTACACATATGAAATTATGGTTGTTTTTTAACATCCCAGTTAACACAATAACCCTATGAAAGCCAGCACAGAAAGTAGTCAGAAGGCTAATCCTTGCAATACTTATGTTCCCTTTTACTTATTTCAGTGTGTATTTATCTCTGTGCTTGTATCCTTCTCCGCAGGCAGAGCTGGGCCTGAATGAGCACCACCAGAACGAAGTGATCAGCTACATGCGCTTCGCTCGTTTCAAGCGTGGCCTGTGTCTTAAAACAGTGGATTCTTGTTTTCAGGACCTTAAGGACAGCAGGTAACAGGAGGGGTGGGGTGGGGTTCTGAGCAAGAATAAAGAAAAATATGCTGGCAACAGTTGCACGTTTAAATGCTTTATGGGGTGACTTTTCTCTGTTTACATTCATATGTTCTTAGTGAGGAAGAAAGACCGAATAGTTTCATTTAAAAAAAAAAAAACAAAACAAATTGTTGACATTCTTAGGAATTAGCATAGATATTGGCAGCATGACATTGCTTTATATCTTGCTTCTGATGTCTAAATTTGATGTAAGACTATAGAGGAAGTAATATTTGTGATTGTAATGTTTCCAAGATAAAATTTAAATACAATAAACAATTAGTAGTGACACGGTCATCTGATAACTACTGCAGTGGATGTTTTCAGAAGGACATTGATTATGTGAGAGTGATACCTATGTAGTGAGGTCTCATAACAATGCCAAATTGTTACCTTTATCATATGTGACTCATCTTGACTGCTCTGTTTAGACTTGTTGAGGAGACCTTCACAGCTGATGAGGTGAAAGAGATGCTGGATGGACTGCGGACTGTTGTGCACAGCGAAGTGGAGTCAGAGCTCATAAATACAACTTACACCAATGTTCTTCTTCTGCGGCAGCTGTTTTCGCAGGCTGAGAAATGGTACCTGAAGTTACAGACAGACATCTCCGAACTGGAGAATCGGTAACATATACTGGCCTATGCAAAATGCCTTTCAGTAAAAAGAAACCTGCAAAGTGTTGACTATTTGCATGCTTTTCCTAGGCACAGAAAGCTGTTCTTTTACTATTGTATTGATGATAGGTTAGATTCAAGTCTTTCGTCTATAAAGTAGCAAGATACACAATAATCTCAAATTTGAAACATCAGGAAGATGTTTTTATTGGTAATATTCTTACTTGAATTAATCAGTTAAGAGCAGGTGATAGGTTTTGATTAAAAAGCCTTTTTTTGTCTGAGTAGATTATATTTTAATCAAGGATGCTAAATCTTAGAGTTCTAATGCATATACCATGCCATTGTATGACATGATCTGTTGCATTTGTTGTGTTTGCATAGGACTTAATTCCATACTTCTAATGAGAATCTTAAATACCATAAAAAGCATAGCATCAGTCTGGTAAAATGTGTTTTGTAGCATAGCCATTTTAGTAAATAAATGTTTCCCTTTATTTTTCTTTTCAAGAGAATTGTTGGATCAGGTTGCTGAGTTTGAAAAGTCAGAATTTACATCTTCGAACAAGAAGGTAGTGTTTTATTTTAATCAAATCATAATTAAATGTCATGTGGTTGCTGCAGCACCAATAGTCTTGTAAATTCAAGTTTTCAATCCCTTTATATCTTTGTGCAGTGTTTTTGTTCAACTTTAGCTGAAAGTGAAAGATAGAACTTAGGAGCCAAGGTACCATTAAAAAATGAACTTGAACTAAAGGGTCATTCATTTGCTTTACAAGAGAAAGCTGAATTGCCTGTCAGTAGTTATTTTACAGACTCAAAGTATACTTTTCTTCTTCCTAGAAATCTGTATAATGTAATTTCTTAATCTTTATTATTTCTTTAGCGCAGTGCAGAACTCATGAAACCAAAACTGGCTCCATTAAATGAAGGTGGCTCAGAGTTGCTAAACAAGGTAAGAGCTTGCCTGCTCATTGTTGTTAATGACCATTCTGCTTATCCAACTGAACTGGAAAGCTGTCCAGTAATATTTGTGTAATGTGCCTGCTCTGTGTAGACATCAAGGTATTATACACCGGAATGTAAAGCGAGATGCTAACAAATCGATAAATATTGTAAAGCATCTTAAATTTATTGTGCGGTTGTCGTCTCTAACATGTATTGCAATATTGACCTTCCTTTTGCAAAGACATTTTGGCCTTTGTAATGATTTCTTTTTCCATTTAATGAGGTAAATTAGTAAACAGTATTCTGTTCCGTGCAGCTGGCTGGCTTTCCAACAAGGAAGTAAATTAAAATGTGTAGCTGTGCCTGTTGATTGAAAATCAAAGTGATGAGCAGCAATGAGATTCCTTTATCTTGAATCTTGATAGTAGCAAGACGCTGAGCTCACTGATCTCAGTTCAGTAAAGCACGTGCTAAATTTAAGTGAATGGTCCTATATATTACAGTACAATTGGAGACTTAAATTTCTATCTGACCAAGGCAGAAAACACAATCAAGAATGGATTACTGATTTCTTATGAAAGACATTTTATAAGCATTTAGAAGCTTGTTTGCTTTCCTAGGCTATGAAATGTATTTTCTTACCTGAAATATTTGGAAAATTCAAAATAGCACAAGAGTGTTCACAAACTTTTTCTTGTTCATTAACCCAAAGAGAGTTGCTTGTCTCCAAGAAGAAAATGAAAAATTGAAGACGAGACTCAAGACCATAGAAACACAGGTAAATTCCCTATAAGCTTGGATACTTCATGCTGTTTACATATTAAATAATATCTCATTAAGAATCTCATGGTTATTATTCTCAAATTTTCAATTAAAATATGTTTCTGAGGTTTTACGGTTTCAATGTATCACAGGCTACAGCTGCATTAGATGAAAAGTCCAAACTAGAGAAGTCACTGAAGGATTTACAGATGATCCAAGGAGACCAAAAGGTAAACAAAAGTTCAGATTTCCCCACCCTCATTTAACACAACTGGTGTCTGTACATGTAAAATGTTGGTCTGTATGGTGAGTTTCTTTTGTGGCAAATACAAAAGTTCAAGTTAGTATCGTCAGGTTCCTGCTGGTCTGGCAGCCAGCAGATAATCCAGAATGTTAGTTGATTTTATGACACTTACTTTATGTCACATAGACCATACTGAATTACTATCAGAAAGTATAGGTACTACCAGGACATATTATTTCAGAATTTGTATTTTCAGGGGTGATATTTGTATTAACAGATACAAATTCATTTTGGCTTGTTTCTTCCTGTTTACTAATGAAAGAATGACATCTAATCTGGTTTTTGTAGCAACAATAAAACACAACTAGAACACTTTAATCCCACTATTTTGAGAAACTGACTTCTTAAAATTCCTGCAGTATTTACAGATTTGGAAGTGAAGTTCAATATAGTAAAACATTTCCACTTTAGTTTTCATATTTTAATCCTGATTTCTTTTTATTTTGCTTTCTGTCTGGTTTGTGGTATGTACTTGGCTTTCTTAATATCTTAGAATTTGATCTAGTAACTTTCAAAATCTCTATTCAATATTATTATTTAATAGGGAACTTGATTTATTGGTCATGGCTAATGTTTTCTTTATGTGTTTTGTTAAGCCTTAAATTATTGAAGGTTTAAAATACTAAAGGGGTTTATTAAATCCTGGATAATAGTGCTGTTAGTTCTAAAAGATCAGAATGAAATCTCATCCTGTTTTTCTAGTTAAACATAAATTGGCATCAATGTCAGGGCTGCTATCTTCGGCACTTCTAATTTATGCTTTACAGGAATAGCATGAATGTAATTATTAAAAATTAAGATGTACCCACTTTATGTGGAATTTTGCACTTGACGCTTTAAATATTTCTTCTCTTGCATTTGACATTCTTAAAATATTTCTTTTGTAGACTGATGCAAACCAGGATATCACTGAACTGGAGAATAAAGTGGCAGCTTTGAAATGCCAGTTTGAGAAGACTCTGAGTGACTCTACCGCAAACCAAAAATTATTGGAAGAGAACTTGGTGACAACGAAACATGACTTGCTTAAGGTTCAGGATCAGCTATCCACAGCTGAAAAGGTTAGTGTTTTATTGTAACGTAAAGCTGAGATCCTTACTCACATTTTAACTGATGAGTAATTTGAAAAGCATACACTACAGGGTCACACAGAGTTTACTGGGTCACACTTGTGCCAGTGTATTTTTGTTATTTCAGTGGGAAAACACAACTAACTGTATGACTATAACTAGGTGAGTACTTCAATTGTCTGTTTGTCTGCCTAGAATTTTTTGAATGAAAAGTGTGTTCCCAGTCTTCAGAAGACTTTTAGCCTGATTTCATCAGAAAATAGTTTGTGTTTCTGTCTCTCCCAGTGATATAATTTGAATCTACTAGCTGACTTCATCTACATTTGAATAAGTTAGGGAAAGTACTGTTCTGAAACTTGAGGAGGAAAAGCAAGTTATCTTTTTTTAAAAAGCCTATTAGCCTGGTTTTCATAATATGTAAGTATTATTATTATATAGGAATTAGAGAAGAAATTTCAGCAAACAGCTGCCTATCGCAACATGAAAGACATTCTCACTAAGAAGAACGAACAGATAAAGGATCTACGTAAAAAGCTTTCCAAGTAGGTGGTGGTGTTCTGTCCAAACAGGATCCTTGGTCTGGATCCATGTTATGCGCCTGCTTGGTTTTTATAAATGTGAAGCTGTCTCTAAAAGAAACACCCTGGCTATGATATTGCATAAAGAACTCTCACTCTGCAAATGTGAAGTGAGCTTTGGCAGCATGGATGCCTTAGACCTGTGCTGTAGGAGGGCAGAGGTGGAACTTAAAACTTCTGTTTAGACTTCTGCCTGTATTTTGGGATTTGTGGGTGGGTTCCTGGTCATTCCCTCATTCTACTATTTGGTAAACTGTCCAATTTTAAAAGGAGAAAATAGTCTGAGAAGTATATCCATTTGTCTGTGCCCTGAGACAT